TTCTGGTACCCTTAGTGAAATGCTACGTGAACGCCCATTAAAAATACCGGATCCGTTCGGATCCTTTCGGATCCTTTTTTGCGGAACACTAATTTTGACCCTGTCGGGATTTGACATAGAACTGTGTACGGTACATCTACGCTAGCCAAAGTGATGATCGATAGCTCGCCAATATTAAAGGTTGGTATGTATTATCATTGATAATTAAGATGATAGAGTCGACAAGTATCCATAATCTAAAATTAAATAAAATGATAGAAAATTGATATTTTTTTAAAAAAATCTTCCAATTGCTACGAATAATAAATATACATAATATAATTAGGTTAGCTTCATTTGTAACTGTGTAAAGATAATAAAGGTAAGCTGATATTATTTTAAATGCTATTGAATAAGACTGTTATCTATTCGAAATAGAACAATGAAAATTTCTAATATAATAAAAGCTTTACTATTTTATAAACATTTCTAATACAATAAAAGCTTTGAATTAATGGCTTTTTAATAAACACAAACTAACTCTAAATTGATTTTGCGCGTATTTTTCAATTGCATAACAAAATTGGATTGCGACATCAAAACCAATAATTTCGCCAAAATGAAATAATTAGTATAATATAAGACTTATAAAAATATGGCATAATATTAGTTTAAAAACTTTTGATATTCGTCCCTCACAATAATATTTGAAAGCAGCATATTCTAGTTGTACAGTAAAATAAAAAATTTTGATGCCCATGTATTAGAATCAATATACAGATATAATCAAAATTCGGATATAAATCCTAGTACGTACTGTACATAGATGATTTACTGCAGAAATTTGGAAAACTAATATTATGCTTTACGCTGCAAAAATATTGATATTAACCATAGAGTCATCATTATTGACACAATAAAATCAGTACATTATTATTAACCCATTAAAAAAAAAAATCTGATCCATCGTTATTGAAATTTGTAGGATGTTTTTAATAACGCATCCATGAATTTTTAATACTTTCACTCATTGGACCTTCTTTAACCGAAATAAAGCAATTGAAATTGATGTTGATATGGGTTGAAAGTGTCAATGAAGCTCTCCGTCAGTGCAGAAGTATCATTATTAAATCCATTATTATCTTCAGTTCAGAAACGAAGAACTGCAACAATTACTGTAGGAGCTGCAAACTAATTCTACTTTAAACAAGAGTAAGTCTAAATAAACAATATTATAATTTTGAATTAATTAACTATAAATGGGTTAAAACAGAGTGAAGAAATCATAAACTCAACATCTTCATTTAATTGTTACTATACAATGTACATTTTAAAATTTTTTTCCCTGAAAACAAACTGGTTGAAAAGATAAGAGTTTGTTTGTAAAAGCTTGATTCGAGAAAAAATTTTACTTAGATAATAATGAAGTCGAATATGAATGGAAAAAAAAAAATAAACCAAAATAAACGACTAACTTGTAAAATAAATAAGTTTTAATCCTCTCTTTGAAGTATTAATAGAAAGGCTCATATGATGTGTGATATTATACGACAATATTATGTCGCAATGTGACAAAGATTATTATTATTAGTCTAGTCAATAACGATGTATTGATTTTTTAGTGGGTTAACAATAATGATTCAAATGGGTCAATATCAATGTTTTTGCCTTTACGCTTATTTAAAAAAAAAACTTATAGACCTAAAACAAAATATTAAGTCAGAGAAAATCATTTGCGTCAACATAGCACTAGTGATTCAGGCCGAATAATTTTTCATAGCTCGACGAAGCCGCTTAGTGATTGAAAGCTACATCGATATAGCAGAATTTCTTAATATTTAAATTTTGTTTAATGTTAGCATATTAATTTCATATTTTACAATTTGTTATCTGTATTGATTATTGTATTATGATTAGCCGGCTTATAAATTATCAGCCAGCTAATCAACATAATATAATTTTAAATGATCAGAGTTTCAATTGTTTGTTTTTAATTTCTGAGTTGAGGAGAAAAAATACGGATTTTTTATTGTTTATTTTGATCTCTCCTATGTGGTGTTTGTTTTTATAGTACGTATTAATACCTCCATTAAAAAAACGCATATTACTGTATATCTTACGATTTTTATATATTGAAATAGATACGCAAAGGCAGTAACAGGTAATTAATTTCATGTAGATTGATATCATTAAATTTAAATCATACTTTTCAGATATTTATCATTCATGGCTAATAATAATTAATATTTATGAATTCTGGTAAAATTTCACAATGCAGTACAGTATCAGCAAACATTATGTAACAGATAACAGGTAAGTACATTTCATATTATAAACGTAATATTAAATTAAATATATATATTATAGGAAGCTACAGAATTAACTTATTTCGAAAATAAGTTGTTAAAAAAAATCCTACTTTCATTTTTAAAATTTTGAATTGGAAAATTAATAGGCATACCGATGATAAAATTTGTTTTTGATAAATATCTAGCCACAATTACGTAAATACACAAAATCGATATATGTTTTATTAATTATGAAACCCTCTTGTTATATACATATATATATATATATTAAGTACCATTACTAAAACCCCATTTAAACTTTTTTCTTTCAACTTTGGTAATAAAATCATCTACTTTAATCATTCCATTTACATCCATTACCAACTCTTTATAAGTTTCAAAACCAATATTAACTTCCTTTTGAGATTTATCGTCTATGGCATGATAAACTACTTTATCAATACCAGCCAAATGGGCGGCTGCGAATTGCAAACATGCCATGATTGAAATATTTCCTCCATAAGCACCACATCCCCAATTTCCTGTATGAATAATAACTCTAGGAACGATTGCGTTTTCTTTTTCGGGAATAATCGTATGTTCAACATTTTTATGCCTTCTTTCTAACACTTCAGTTTCTACCAAACTTTCAAATCTAGCAGCCAAGAATCCACTATAAGCTGTTTCAATAATCATTCTAATAGTACTATTAGTATAATTCCCTCTTCCGTATTTTGGTGCCTCAATGGCAATAATATTTGAATAATAAGGATTACCTCTATCATCCAATCTTTTATCAAAAACAGTGGTAGCCAATTTTACAGCGTCTACTTTAGCAGTTGCGAATTGATTCCCATAAAGACCGTAAGGTCTACCTTCGGCTTCATTACAGTCAGTTTTGATAAAGGCACGACGTTCTACACCACGAATTAATACAGGTGTTGCGATTGATTTTCCGGATGATATGTTTGTTCTCGTTCTTGTTGGTGACCCATTTGGCATAGTGTCGAGCTTGTCACGAAGTGAGCATAGAGCTGGATGCTCAAGGCATTGCATTTCGTCTTGTGCGAAAAGTGAACCACCATAGTATCCAAACAAATTTCTAAAATCAAAAATTATGTCGTTATTTTTCTTTAGTCATTATTACTATTTGTTTGAAAATAGTCTAACTAATTTTTTAAAATTCAAGATTTACCATATCGAAATTTAAAAACTAGTTAAAGGCAATGATAAATATTACGTAATATCTTGAAGTATCTTATTATTCTAGATAACTAGCTAATCAAAATTTCTCTTATATGTATTGAAAAAAAATATTTATCATTACCTTAATTGGATAACTTTTATAAAATTGAACATACATATCTGCGAAATTAATGTACCAAACTACAGTATTATCATCATCAGGTGGTGAATAATCAAATACTTCATTTAATATTTCAATCTCCAATTCTCCTTTCCTTCCTCCTCCAATTCCATCTCTTTCTTCAACATTAAAACTTTTTGGTAAATTAAATTGTGTCCATTGTGTATACTCTAAAATTCCATGAAATGAATTTGCTCCATTTGGACATGCCATATTATAAACCACTTTTTTATTCTGACAATACCATTCTGGTGGATTTTCTCTTACGATTTCTGAAGCTGTAAACGAATAATAATCTCTTAAGTGAGAGGATATATCTTCTTTAATTTTTTGTAATATTGGCCGTTCGATTAATGACATATTTTTGATAAACTTTTGGTCAAAGGTGATTGCTTTTTATAATAATAGAGTGAATCGGATGTTAATTGTGTATAATTATCCTAAATTGTATTATTACGCAGTAAGTACGTACCGTACGACGTATAAATCCTAGCACCAATTTCGTCATGGCCGATCCTCGATATTACATAATTTTTACATAATTTTGGCCGAAATTAACTTTTTAACTTTCATTCTAAAAAATTTAAATTTCTGATAAAATTAGCACAGTAAAATTCCGACCTTGATTTTTGATCGTCACTCTAAATTGATGCAGGAGCTAGGTATATATATTATTTGTATTTTGGGTCTACGAATTAACCTTAGCTACCGGCAGATTCTCGGTTTTGATTGGCTAAAAACGACGATTAAATGAATCACAGCCGCCTATTAAGTGAAAATTGTTCCTGACAGATCACGACCATTAGCCAAACATAATCGAGAATACGCCGTGACAATTTTATTGGTAGCTATGGTTAATGGTCAACAATGAACTACGCCTCAAATTCTGCAAATTCAAATTATAAAAAGTGAACCATAAAAAAAAAAAATGCAGAATCCGTTCAGCCTACAACTAATAACTTGTGATCTATCGACTATAATCTGGTGATTTTGGTCATTCGATTCATTTCCGACAACTGACCACTGTATCGCAAATATTTTTTTTTAACAATTATGAAGAAAAAAAGTAAACAATTACACAAGTATCAATTTTGACGTGCGAATAATATCTCGTGACCCATCGATTAAATTGTATAATCTTAGTTCCAATCGACTTCTCAGATAAATCAAAGTTTGCAAGCTGGTTGATCAGTTAAAAATACTTTCCGCTAATTAAAATTTAATTATTGACACATTTTTTGACCCATTGATTAGAATGCTTTAAAACACTCTAAGTTGGATATTACCAACGACGTAATTGATTTTTCTACTTTTGATTTGTATTACTGAGCAGTTATCAATGATAATTAGCTAACCTGAAAAAAAGAATTGAATTTTAAATTAGTTTTAACCGAAAAATCACCATTAAAATGAATAAGGTATAGAACTCTTAGACTGTTCTAAAGCGTCTTCCTTGATGTGTTTGTTGAATGACCTAATTGGTTGAAAAATTGATCGTGATTATCAAAAAAACCTGGGGTTGCAACTACCAATTTTTCATAGTTTGGCTAAAATTTACCCTTGATATAATAACCATACTGCTCTCTCATCTTTAATGTGGGCCCGTTGTCGATACCAAAAAACTATTGTGCTGCTCTTCGTACTAGAAACTTTTACAGCAAATAGAATAAAATAAAAAATAAAATAAAATAAAATTAATAAGCAAAAACAAACACTTCCCATCTTCTAGCTATTTAAATACCTATTTATGTCTATTTACTATGATTATTTTTACAGGCTTTGTCGCCGAATCTGACTATTACTGTATCAATTGTGTAGCCAAATATAGCGATAAATTATATGTAAAATTGTTTAGAGGACAAATAGCTAGAGGCAAACTTTATGAATCAAAAATTTCGGACGTCAAAGTTTTTAGTATCAAAATTTCAGGTAATCGCCTTTTTTTGGAGTAATCGATTAAAAGATATGATAAAAAGAGATATCTCAAGCATCGATCATCATCTTTGTATTAATTGATTGTAACGTTTGCAATTACACCGAAAGATGCTTGAGAACGACCTTAGTCACCAAAACTTTATAACTATTAAAGGTTAAGTTCAAGCATTTCATACTTTTATTATGGATCTTCGTTATCGATATTAATATATTACTATTTTTCTGGGTGGTTTTTTTTTTTAAATACATAGAATCGATAAAAGAGTGATATTTAGCAATACCCCATTACTAAATTGTTGCGAAAATAGTTAAAATTACGTCATAATACTTGTGCACTATTCTATCTCTAGAAAATCGCATCGAGGTTACTGCGTCAGCTGGGTACTAAAATCCGTGCAATGTTGTATTATCAAATTAATTTCTCATTAAACATCTTAAAAAGACGCATTGTTGATGGACAAGCTGTTAATTTTTCATTTAACCAAATTCTTTTAAATAGAAATGGTTGAAGTGGAACAAGGATTAATATTCAGTCTTTTGGTATAACAAAGAAAAATAAATAATGGAAGAGCAAAAAAAAAAGAAAATATAATTCATAAAAACACAATTTATAGTTCACTATATTAAATTTTATTAATATATTGGAATTCATTCTTTCATATATTATCCATTAGCAGCTAAAGTTATAATTTTATTATTTATAAGTACTGTATTTAAGTCGAATGCATAAATGATAAGGGCTTAAGCATTTCAGAGTCAATATTATGCAACTCAGTTTTAAATCCATGCTTGAAATTACTGCATATACTACATATGGGACCCCCCACAGCAAAAGGGTGCATTGGGCCAAAAATTTTTATTTTATTTTAATTGATTTCTTGAAGAATTAGATTAATAGGAATACAATTTTTATAAAATTACAAAATTAAAATTTTTGTCCCAATGCACCCTTTTGCTGTGGGGTCCCCATATACGTATAAAGCTGCATAAGATTGCCATAATGATATGAACCTTTATCAAGAATAGATTTCTTAGCTGTATAAAATGTAAAAAGTATAAACAGTCACTTAATGACTATAACCGAGAACTTATTACATCATAGCATTCGATCAATATTGTAGAGTTAAAATTTGAAAAATACTTAAATATGCATTATTTATATTGATCACGACCTAGTACCATAAAAGTGAGTCTGTAATAAATACAATAGATAGAAACGATTATGAAACACTCTAGCGTCACCGACCTAAAAAATTACGCCATAAATCAGCCTTCAAGATCACAATACTAACTCTGGTAGCGAAATTTTTAGAGTTTGTATTCGCCTCATGTGGGCAAATTCGTATTGCATTGAAAGTGGAGCTAACGCATTATAATACTCAGTGCTCTCTATATTTAATTATATGCATCTAGGAAATGTTAAATTGCTAATATATTTGCTCTTTTTTTTTTCTTTTTGGCTCTACTGAATATTTCTCTTCGAAAAAGCAACCCTAATATGTTGTTAAAATTTATCTAATCTCTATTATCACTTAGTTTTTATTACAATTGGTAATAACCCTACCTTTACCTTGCCTACTAAGTATCTGAATAAACGCTCATGTATAATTTTATCTCTTAAATAATAGACTTTTGCAGAAAATTTTCTGCAAAAAACCCATTTTTATCTCGTTAAAGCCACGTGTAAGAATTGCATAATAAAATGTTTAATTGAGTTTTAATTAAATGTATATTTAAACGTTAACTGTCTTGCAGGAAAATTTGTGTAACTATTCTTAGAGAAAGCATCGTTGAGAATTGACTATTAAGGATGTTAATGCATTATAATAGTGCACTGCATATAATATTGTCACGGCGAAAACCTTGCACGTTTAAAAATCCATATTCATAGGATGAACTTGGAACGTGGAACGTCAAGCACTCGAAAAATAGGTGTCGATTTGGTAGAGATGACACAATATATAATTTATTCAATAAAAGCCTAACTGTGTAAGATTCGATACATGTAAAAAGCTAGATATACTATATTTATACATTTGGAAATCTACGAATATGCTACGTTAATATGCAGAATCTCGAAATATGCCGAATATGCATTTTCGCCCATTTATCCCAAATTGGTAATTATTGTTTCGCTACGTCCACTTATTTGCGCGGGTAATACAAACCTCTAAAAAGGAAATAAACACAAATTTCGGGCATTCCGACATGAATTCGAGTACAAGAAAAAAAGAAAAGAAAGCTAAAATACTCAAACTATTGTTTAAATCGACCTTTGTGGACTAATAAAAAATAATGGTGATGAAATTTTACATAAGAAATTCCAAATTATCGCCAAAGCTCACAACCCTAACGTCCTAATCCTAAACTTCTATTTTTACGCACTTAGTTTATTTACAAAATTTGTCTTCCTTTTTTGGTTTGTGTTACCCGCGCAAATGTAAATCGCGTACGCGTAACAGAATCCCAAACAATAATGCAATTTTTCCAAGCGTGACACTATATGTATGTATTTAATTACAGTCATACCTCGCTAAATGCATGTTCTCCTTAAATGCAAGCTTTTAAAAAATATACATATAGTATGTTACTGTATTATTTAGAGAAAATTGACTGTATATGCATCTAGAAAATGTATAAAAATGCCAATTACTTTCCTCTATTTCTTTTCGATCTACTTAATATTTTTCTCTTTGAAAAAAGAATCAACCTCAAAATGTTGCCAAAATTTTATTTAATCTTTATTATCATGTTAGCTTTTATTACAATTAATATCGACCCCGCTCTTACCATGTCTATTAAGCATCTGGAAAAACGAGGTACAGATTATAATATACTTTTAGTGTTAAATGATATATGAGTTAATAATTTATTGTAAATTAAACTATTAGAAGGTGAGTATAAAATTAGTATTATTTATTTCCTGTGGGGAAATAAATAAATAATCCCAGAAGCGTGTCACTAGATGTTAATCGGACTACCATACCATTATTTTTACACGTGTTCCATATTTATATTCGTATTGTGCT